TAAGTTACTTTGAACAAGAAAATTTACAAAGAGACGGGGAATGATGGGTAATGAAATCTTTACAAGATATGTATTCATTATTAGATGTAGAAGCGAATTTATAGAGGTAATGGCAGAAAAATGTAAATCTAGTATCTTATCTAAGGATTATTGTCCTATTTTTAATCTTTAAATAGATAGGTGATTTAAAGATATGTTAAATAGGATACTCAGAGAGCATCCTAATAAATTATGTTATACGAGTTAGTTAGTTAACGCATTATATTAAATACTATATGGCCACTCTATTTAAGATTAATATCTGAAACATAGTATTTCAAATAGCTAAAAGAATAAAATAATTTTAATAATATTAAAAAAAAAATAATTGTACTATAAATACTATATATGGTGCACTTTGTTAAATTAATCAAGAATGAAAATCGTATTTTCCACTTCTTTCAAAGACCATCCTGTCATCTGTTAAATCAATAATAAGGACTCACGACACGGGGAAGCTTTCGAAGCTTGAAATGGTATAGGAACTGCACGGCACTCGTCGCTGCCAATCGTGCCTGCGATGGAACATGCGTTACATCATAATTGGATCACACGCTCGATTCTATCCTCAGCCCGCGCAGCTGAAACAGTCCAATCTTCCACTCAGACGACACTCAACTCAATATGTGGTAGCAACGCCGCTCGCAATTACCTCTTTAACTTCCAATATATCAGACAGGCGTCCAATTGGTTTAATCGGTGGAGGTGTTTTGTACACGTTCATACAATCCACGTCCACTACCATCGTTGTCGCCCTGTTGGAGAAACTACCTGCTTAAAGCGACGGTGGGTCCTTTCGTGACCGGACTACGACTTAACTTAGATCAGGAACATCCTAACTTCACAGCGGGACTGCGTAATCCGCCCAGGTTGCTGACGATCAAACTCGGCGCTCCTCGACCCACTTTTACATTGGTTAAAGGAACATCCGCACGTTTTCGAACTTCCTTCCCGAAAGTCGTGCCGCGGCAACTTCTCGCTTTAGCTTTACGCTTACGTCCCTGAGTTAGATTAAGCTGTCACAAGAAAAATCGCAAACCGTTCGAATCAAAGGGAAGAGGATTCGAAATTTGCAATTTCTCATTCCCTAGCAATCCCGGCAATCTCTTACAATTTTGTGAATTCTTACTAAACTAAATATTAGATTGAAAAACATATACATATCGTCAATATCGCGGTACTCTTTTTTTCTAATTAAGAATGCTATTTGTATTCAACTACGATATTTGATACAACTACGAGATAGCACTGTAATCTTTTACTGAAGCTTCGGCAGAAACTTATAATTTCTCTCACGTTCCCTTCAGCGCTACTAACGATAATTAGCGAAGAAAGAGCCGTGCATCGTGACCGACGAGCCAGAGGACGAACCTCTACCGGTAACTTAATCCATCGTATCGATTAGGAAATATAACCCAATTCCAGCTAACCGATTTACTCGCACAAATGGATTAACCCGGCTTGGAGGGGCTACGGCGTGAACACGCCGAATTGCTGCTTACTCCGTTCTTCCGCAGTGCATCCCTGGCTTTGCTATCTCTCCTTTTTCGTCGTTTATCTTGTTTTCAGCCACTCCCCTCGCTTCATTTGTCTGTTACGTGCAATCAAGAATCCGGTTGTCCCGACCGGAGCGCCGTACATCTGTCCGGAGGCTCTTAGAGAGCCCAGCCGGGGAGAGAGTTAGATTTATTTATTTCCCAGAAAAAACTTCTGGAGCTTCAATTCGGGAAATCTAACGGAATACGGAAGTAATCATGAACTGTTATAAATTAATCATAAGAGTTTATTAATGCGTAAAACGCGCGCGCGGAGAAAATAATTCTATTAAACTAATTTAATCAATAACAATTAATCATAGTAATAACAAGAGCTTCAAAGCAATTATTATTAATGTTAATAATACAGAAACATTTATTAGATAAAACCATTTTATATTGAACCATCGATTTTGCTGACGTTCTCGGAAAATTTACTTTTAAATTAATTAGATGGCCGTACCGTAGATAAAAAGTTATGCGCAAATTAGAAACAATCAGCGTGTATTCAAAGTTGTTTATTTTTATTAGGTAAATCATACTTCTCTGCAATTGAATTATATTTGAAGCATGTCCACACTGCCGTGCGCGGATAATTCGGAGAGATGAAGTAAGACTATCTTTGGCTATCTTCCAGCTTAGAAAAAAATTCCCATTATTTTGCCATTAAGTTTTTTCCTCCCCAATTTTTGTCGGACGTTGAGCACACCGATACTTTTAGTAAATTAATTTTACGGTGCTTGCTCCGTTTCTAAGTTAATGATGCCGAGGAAAAAGTAATATTTATTACGCGGGATTCCTTCTCTCGCGTATCTTCTTTTTTTCTGCGTCGCCGCGTAAGAACACCCGGGACTTTTGCCAGTAATATTTTTTCACGTCGTGTCTGATTGCTTCCTGCTTCAGAAAATATGAGCGGACATTTATAGGATTGCGAAGCGTCGGGATCTAAGCGCGATTATTTATGGTATTTGTCGGACTGGGTTTGTTAAGCAACTTATAAATTACGCGCGGCACACGACACATCTCAACGATTCCTTCAAGAGAGATGGAAACGATCATTTCTGTGAACTCTGCAAGATGTCTGTCTCGGTTTATCTTTAGAATTTTCTTTTATGACATCTACCATTTTTTTGACAAATCTTTCTGGATTTAAAGAGATGAAAAATTGCTAGCTAAAATAACGTTTGAATTATTATTAGATATTTGTAAAAGTTTGTGAAGTCACCGTTAAATGTTACTAGAATTTCTTTAGTTATATGTAACATTGAATAGATGCTTTAATATTTGATAGATGTTTTCGATTTTTGTTAAAGTTAATACCGTCGTTTTCAATCATGAAAATCACTTATGGCACAAATTTTCAGCAACAACAGATTTGTCATAAGTTTTACATTAAATTGTTATGGCTTTAACGTTACTCTGCTCTTTGTTGTAAATAATCAACAAATATCGCGAATGTACTATATTACGTATGAAACAATTTAATAACCAAGGAATATAGTTGGTATATTGCAGGGTATATTCAATATTATAATTTAATATATGATTAAAAAGTTTTACAATAAATTTTAGTAACACATTTAACGGTAATTCCACAAACTTTTGCACATTCATCTAATAAAACGTTTTGAAGAAAAAAGATTATTTCATATACAACTGAAAGATTATTTTCAAAATATTCATATTTTTGTAATAACGAGAAAAGAGAAAACTATTGGACGATTCGATCAAATTAATTATTCTGAAGAAAATCATTCGATTGTTTCCACATTTTTAGAAAAGTGCAAAATACGTTCCACGAGTGATATATTGTGTGAGTATTACTTCTAGGAAATGTCTTTTTTTAAACCACTTTAAATCACTTACATCCCATGAAAGTGAAACGTTACCTTAAGGCGATAAGTTCCGGATTAAATCCAACGTTCTGACTGCTTTCCCGTCGAACCCGGCGTAAAACCAACTTGGAAGAGATTTTTCGTAAGTATTCGATTCGAGCAGCCGCGCGTCTCGTGTTCAGGCTTTATACTACGTGAATTTTTAAGCGGAAAATCCAATATTGGTGCCGCAGCGCATTGTTAAGTTCCCGCTTGTTTCCTTTTTCTGGTCGCTTCAGTACTCCCCTTTTGCCCTTCCCCTTATCTCTCATCCCTACTAGAGACGTACTGTCAATCGAGTTATTCTTACGGGATTTCAGCCGCGACGCGCGCATAATGCTATTCATGAGTCCGCATGATTATCGGAAAACTATATTTATCCTGGACACCATATTAAATCCCTGTTTCGATGTTGGCCTTTCATCCGGTCGTGGCTATGGCCACGCTTATCCTCGGCTTCTCGATGAGGGGACGAAGATAAATATCGTCGATGATGAAAATAAAATCCTTGACACGGGTCCGACGGGTAGGGCCTCGACCTCGTCACCCCCGCGAACGTCATTTTCGAAAGCCCATGGGTTTCGTGCGGGCGATATACTCACGCACACGCAGCCTGCCATGTAGGGCTTAATGGCGGCATCTGCATCTTTTATAAGCTCGGCGTTATCTGCATCCCCGGACGTGCACCGCCGATGCTCTCTCCGGTCTATGTATGTACGTACCACGACGCGATCGTCGCCTCTGCTTGGCACACGTGCGCCAAACAGATACCGGTCGTCGATTTATCGCCGGTGCGTATCGCCCTCGGAGTGACGTCGGATCAAGCGACCCGCTTGGAGTATGTTGCAGTCAACCATCCCATTTATTACATAACCCCGACGCACCGATACGCCGATGAGTATCGGCATGAATTTAACTAATAATCAGCAGTAAGCGAGACATATGGGAGATACTAATCGACGTCGACTACGTTCTGATTCGCAATCATACGGACAATTTGTCATCATAGCCGATCATTCGATTCGCAGTTATTAATCGCGGTATTTTCGAATCATCGAAGTGACTCGAGCGTCTTAATCTAATTCTTAACTACAGTTATATGAAAGCACTTAAGCACTTAAAGCATCTTATTTCGGGTCTACTAGACGCATAAATACCAATTAGAATTAAAACTTCACAGACTATACTAACTGTTAAAATTTTCACTTCAAGTCTAAATAACTTATTCGCGAAAAGGACGATTTTGCTGAAACCTAATATCTATCTTAAAATTTAGCTATAGATCTGAAAATAATTTTATTGGATTATTAAAAATTAGAGTGCTTAAGCGTTGATGATAATGTAACAAAAGATTTATTATTTAGATGTATCTAGCTAAATTTTTAAATACTTCAACAAAATCGTTTTTTTTTTTTTTTTCATATTATATTAGATACGTTAAATGTATAATTATCTTGCATAATTTAATATGTATGTAATACGCGTAATCATGCGGTTTAATGATTTTCGCAAGGTTGCGGTATTCTAACATTGGTTATTTCTTGTTGTTTTAGGCTTCCGCCACCGCAACAGCAGGTGACGGTGGGTTCTCTGGGCGGCGGTTTAGGTGGTGCCGGAAATGGCGGTACCGCCACGGTAGGCGCGCAAGGCCAAGCCATGGTGATGCCAGGTTTTCCGCTTCGTGCCGCAGCGGTGCCGCACTACTCCCCGTATTCACCGTCGCGTTTTCACATCGACAAACGTTGTCAGCACAGGTGCTCTTGGAAATGCTTCTCGATCGCTCTGATCCTCCTGGCTGTGGCGCTGACAGCGATGTTGGCGTACTTTGCTGGTAAGTAATCGTTGCATTAAACCTCTGCTGAAACAAACTTATCTCATAACTTTGAACGCGATCGAATGCGTGTAGCTGCTATAGCTCTGAATATATATGACACAACTACTTTTAGATTAATTTTTAATAGTTTGTGTTCGGGTTAATTTTCATTACTTGTACAAGTATACCAAATTATTAATCTTACGTATATACTTTAACGTATTTAGAAAATATTTATAAAGTTGTGTATTTAAAAAAGAAAAAGTTAGAGATCATTGTTCAGTCACCTAAGTAGACATTTTAATGACACCTTGTTGACATTAAAGACACCATTAAAATCTTTATTCTGTAACTCTTAACGACAGTAATGATTTCGTTACTTGTCGTTGCACTTTTCATCTTGCTATTTAGGCAAGTGCTCTTAATATTTTAAAAAGAAAAAGTGCCTAGGACACAAATAATCTAATCGTATACTAAATAAATATCTGATTAGATTAACGTGAAATGAAGCTGTGCTAAAGATATATGTAACCAAATCTATATCTGTAATGTATGCAGAGAGTGGAGGGACAGCTATTTAATGCAACCATTTCATAAATAATATTTGCCTCAATGTAAATTTGAATGAGCCGTTTTTATTAGTCCCAGAGCGCACGTCCGAGTAGTAACATAGCCGCCGGCGGATAGTCGGACGCAATTCTATTGCTGGCTGACCCGAAATTCACGGTACAATAATTCATTATTAACTTGCAAATCTGGTTACGACTAACCCAACCCACCTAATGCTAAAATCCATCGGAACGTCGGCATTACTGCACCATGCTAATCCCTGTACGCACAGAGGGGGATTATACATATGACTGACACCATAACATTCCGCGTGAAGGCATGACGAATTTCGCGTAATCATGCAAATCATAACTAAATGAGATTCACAAATATTAGCAAACGCAAAATTCGTATTTTCATGCTATTTCTAAAGAAAAAAATGTTAAGAGTAAAAAATAAATTTATTTATAAAAACACCTTTTTCAGAGAAGACCATAATAACAAGTCAATTTAGATAATACATTTAAAATTGGATAAACAAAAGCGGAATCAAATGAACAAAGCATGACATTAATAAAAAGGAAGAGTACAAGAGAATCAATTAAATTCGTGCGAGAAAAAGAGAGAAGTAATATTTGAAATATTATGCAGTGCAGCAGTATTATATTTGTTTACAAAACACATTGTATACCTACGATATATTGACACTTTTCTTGTAATGTCGATATACATAACATTGGCACGCATCAGCGTTATTTTACGATTGTTTAAACACTACATTTTCTTGCGATAGAAACAATTTTTGGTTATAAAACACGCGAGTCCGTTTTTGTTTTACGTTGTCTTGAAACATTTGTTTCAAAGAGATATTGCCAAAGGTATGTTGTCTTACAGATTTTCGATATACTGCCCTAAAAGAATTATTTTCACTGTGTTCAGATGCATGGTATTCATGATTTTCATCTATGTTATAGAAAAATTCTTACGTAATATATGTGCACATAAAAAAGAAATATGACGAAAAGTAAATAGAATTATGATTATATTTTTCTTTCTTACTTTTACTAAAATCGTGTACCTTTAATCTTGAATTCAGCTTCTCTTGTTGTTGGATTACTATTATCATATCCGTATAGAGCAGAATAATATGATCGTGCGTAGACGATGTACAAAGTTGTATTCGGGAAAATTAAATACTGTTCAACAGCGGAAGTCCGGATCTTCCGTAGGAAGCGCAGCTACGGCGTAACATTGCCAGCGTAATGGTTCATTTAACATGGAGTGGTTGGCTCCATCCGGTTAGGGAGAGGCAAAAATATTGCCCGTCGATAGCGAGGAAGCGTTTCCGTGGCATGGGGTGCGTTTTACCCATAACACTCGTAGCTGCAGAGGAACTACACACCCGCGTCGTCGTACGATCGGGGAGAAAAGGTGAACTCATACGAATCGATACCACGCCTTTCTATCCGTTAAAATAATAGTAACGGAACTCTACGGAAGACACAGAAAGGTACTTTATCTCGGATGGCAACACTAGGGTGCCTTCAACGTTCTCAAATGTTATCGAACTAAATTTTTTTTTTTTTTTAAATTTTGGTTGTATTCGCTCGAGGAGGAGCGGATTATCGGAATTTAAAAGTACGTGTCTTTGCTAAACGAATCGGGCAATTTCGCAGGGCAATGGCCTACCCGACGTACAAATCGATAGCCGTGCAACTAACGGCGCACTACCTCGGTGCGCCCTATGGCTAACATTGGTAAACTTTCCTGCATAAATAACAATGGCAAAACCCCGCGATGTATGTAAACGTGAAATCTTACTGAAACTAAACACTACGACGACATTATTGCCGTTGGTAGCCGGCTCTATTAACGAGCTCGCGGCAAGAAAACGAGAGACAAATCGTCCTTGTTGATCCGCGTCGTTAAGATCAACGTTGAAAGAACCACGTTAGGTTATCGTTACTGCAAAAAGGTCTGGGAAAATGGCTCCACCATGTCCGTTATGCTAATGCAGGAACCAACGGGGTGCGAGGCCAAAGATACGCGCGAACAGGCTTGAAAATCACTGCATCTCTACGGCGTTGGGTCCGATTAGAGGAATTAATGCTTGCCTGTTATCAGCGTACAACAGAAAGGAACTCGTTTTCTTGCCTCTTATCCTGCACCTTCACGCAAATCGTGTTTTTGTATTTTGCATCCGAAAATCCGTATGATGGTCATGGTCCGATTTGCGAATGTATTAGACTTCATCATCCAAAGTCGCAGGGACTAAAAGGGATTTGACGGGAGAAGGAAGGGATATACGCGAGAATAGCTGGAGCCGTATTGTGCTCTGTGAATCTATAAACATCCCTCCTCTGCGGTACTGTCCATCTCGACTTCGGCGTCCATGTTCTTCTTCCACCTCCCCGTTCTGTCTGCGTGTCGCAGGAAAAGGGAGGGATGTGGTGGAGACTGCAAAGTCGGTTCTCGGCCTCGAGGAGACTGCTCGCCAGCTGTTATTTCTGCATTCCAGTAAATCGAGTCTGGAATCCAATCTGCCTGTTTGCTACTGTATCCAAACTACCCCGCAGCCAACCTCCAGCGTTACCCCTCTCTGTCCTCCCCCGCGCCCGCGTCTCTTTTACGGTTGCTGCAGGTCCGTCTACCCTCTCTCGCCGCGAGCACACACATATGCGCACAAATACACACGGCTGCGTATATACGTGCGCATACACCGCGAGACACACGAAACTGTGCGCGAACCCTTCCTCCTCATTTCATTCCTCTGCCTCGCTCCGAAACGCACGAATTTTGCATGTACGCGAGTTGCCTTGCTTTTCGGTAATTTGACGTATGTCTGCTTGCTTGCTCGCTCGCTTGTGGCCCTCATAGGACCAAAATCATTTTGCGACGAGCCACTTCCGACGTGGATCTCTTCCACGATTTCATTTGCAAGTAGCTAACGAAACTGTTGCAATGATAATTCCTTTTGACAAACGGTCGTGAGTAAAGCTGGACAATTTTGTTTGTCACTTTTTTTTTATAAGTCATATAAAAATAACATTTTGCTTATACGTACTTTTGCTCATGTCTGATAAGTATTTAAATTTTTAAAACGCGAATTACATATACTCTGCGACAAAACTAAAAGTAAGAGAGAAGAAAATGCTGTACAAATTCGCGGAACACAAAGCAGCCCAGCTATTTGTATCTTTTCCTTTTCCCGTAAAATCCTCTTAGATTCCTCGATTTCGGACAATAAAGTCTAATACACTTGCAAGCTGGACTTTGACTGTTATACAAATTTTGAAGTCTCTCATGCAAAAATCTTTCATTGGAAACTGATGCAACTTTAAAATGACAACTTTTTATGGGAGAGGTTTGTCATTGAAAGACCACGATGTAATTCAACTGCTTGTTTTCAGTCACGAGAGAACATTTTATTACTACGTCATTAATAGTTAACTCGTCAATAATAACGACATAGCAGGCAGTTCGATAACGCTGTCGTGTCTGGACTCACGCTTCGGCGGATCGGAACGAAAGGGTAGACGGATCGATTGTAAACATTTCATTATAACGTACGAGCGGAAGTGGGCGGTAGAACGGGCCGGCTGGGGTGGCGGCGGGATAATCCTACGATAATCCGGGAATCATTCTCGGGAATGAATCGCTCTATCGATCCGGAGGTATATAATTGAAAAAGTTGTTCCTTTGCGTCCCTCCCCCCCTCTCTGCTGGTCCCCCCTCCCCCCACAAACGTGCCCGCTGTCCTTCACAGTCGCGCTCGCCTTTTCTATCCTTGCAAAGGCAAGGTAGCAGGCGATGTAGCGACCCCTTCCGTAGCTCGCATTATGGCCATTTTAAATTTCCGGTGGCTCATCGTCAAAACTTGGCAATCTCACGTTCCATATATATCGAATTTTAAGATGACTTTGTTTCGCAGTATTGTCCTTATAGCTAAACACACAGGATGTCTCAGAGGTCGCAGCTGCCGGTAGATTAAATTGCTTAGAGATCCCAAGTGCGAGCTCATTTTGCACTCGCCATCCGAAGTTCCTAATTTACAACGTCAAATATTTTAGAAACCAACGGCTACGATATTAAAGCGTTACTAAAATAAAGTCTATGTAGGATAAACTGAGAAACGCACGGCTGCATTACCGAAGATTGATATAGGAAAACTGATTTTTGAAGTATATTACAAATATCGATTGTTTAATGTATAAAACGATGCGTCCTTTTCCTATTAATCGTGTAGTATTAGTGTGTCGAAATTACTGCGAGATTTTTTTTTAGACATCCAATGCGATATGTGGAAAGTTGGATTGCTGAGTTGCAGCGACGTGAAGGGGGAACGAAAACGATGCCACGCTGACTGGCATATACGCGAAATAAGGTCATTCACAGTTCACTGCAACTCAATTTCAGCGATAGTTACATGGTGGCCAGGCAACGTCGATCCCGAAGGAATAGTCGCTCTTTTCCGGTCATTTCGCCTATCTCCGGTCTGACGTGCGTACATGTGTACTTGTATGCGCGCTCGCTCGTGTCCGTATGCGTACGTACACGAAAAACTCACGTGTACGCGTAATCCCTTATCTCGCACGTATCGCACAGCTTCCTTACCTCGAAGAACCTTGTCAAGGACTATCATCTGCACGAAAGACTTTTCTATAGCTAGAGACAAATTATTATAGGAAAATTATCGGGGGAATGAAGTATTTTATTCTGCATTTATTAAATTATCTAATTTAAATATTCACGTGTTTGCTTATGGGTCTCCATTTTGTTCAACACTATATTTTTTCTGTATGTTTTAACAAAAAGCTGTAAATATATAATAAAATAATAACGTACATAACAATGGCAGTTCCACTAGAAACGGTATAGAGGCGTGCGCAATAACGAATGCTATTATCACGATAGAAAGCTTATAGAATCCGCGATACGATAAATCGCGAGGCGCGAAAACGCGTCCATTAAATATCGACGCCGAGTGTATCGGCGAATCGCGATTTGTCAAATCATCCGCGCGGCAATAACACGCGAATTCAATTATGCGTTATCGATGTTTTGTTGCGTTGATAAGCCAAGAGGTCGTTAGGCGGGGTTGCGTTGGCTCGGGCCTGCCGCTTTTTAAAAACTCTCGTTAAACCGCGTAATTAATTCGTGGCGCTCGCGGCGCACGAGACAGATAATTAATTAAACCGCAATATCCCGCCACGGATAAGGGTTTTATTGCCGAATTTATCATGGCGTTTAAATTCAACGAACTTACACTTATCGCTCAGAAAACATTAATATAAATGGCCTGAAACTCCAGATAACTACTAATATAGCATCAACATAATTGGATCTTGGATTATATCGGCCAATATTAATTGGTCTTTGAGGGATCTTCATCCAAATCTTGGATATCATTTGTCATTGGACATACAACTTCTTTACTCCAAAAGACATAACTAAAAAAATGTGATTTTCGAGTTACTTATTACCTACATATTACCATAAATTATATATATAGGAAAATATTATAATATTTTATCAATTATTAAAATTAATTTAACTTCATAAAAACAGTGATTTTTGAAAAAGAATTATCAAAATTGCCACAAATAAAAAAAAATTTCTAAAAACTGTGAAATGGTAAAAATACTTTATCATGTTAAGAAATTTTTTTACCAATATTGTTTAATCAGTAAATTAAATTACTGTCTGTCAAATTGAAAAATAGTTTTCTTCTTTTTTAGGAACTTAATTTTTAATTGCATTATTTTTGAAGTAAGAGAGCGATATTATATATACCATTGATAATCTTGTTTTGTTGAAATTTGAGAAAAATGTTATTATTTTGTTGACGTTAAAAAGAAATATTATAAACGATATAGAAAAAGGGTATTATAGCGTATACCAGTCCAGAATTCTTGATCTGATGAAGCAATATCGTACGCTCGATACAACTGTGATTTAAGCTGTGAGATCTCAAACTTTATTACAGGGATACGTTGCTTTAAAAGTTACTCGAGCAGGAAGGTCGGGTTGTCATGGGAAATCTAGTGTGCTATCGTAATTCGAAAGCGATTGTCCGAATTTATGAACCCATTAGGCTGCTGCCAGACGTTCGACTAAAGCCGTTCTTGATTCCTGACGCTATAAAAGCGTCACGCGGGCAATACTATTTCGCCTAGAATACTGGTCGTACGTTGCAAATATAACAGTTGTGTCTTATACGCGCGATTGCGTGTGGGGCACTTCTCTCTCCGCACACATACAGTAGATTTTCATCTTTCTTTTATTCTAAAATGGAATGGCTTTGTTTATTTTCCAGCAGTGAGCTCTATGCGCCCGATAGACAGCACTAACTGCATTCTGGTTCAAGATATCAAGGCTGTCACTCACGAAAACGCACACATCCACGACTCGATATCCACGCAGATCCCCACAGAAGGTAAATATCGAGCGGTATTAATTTGCATCTACTCTGCATGATGTAAATACTCTCGCGCACAGCGTCATACGCTAATTGCTTTTGGGAAGCGCGAGTGGATGAACGTTTCATCGATATAATATCTTTAGCAAGGACTATATCCAAATGTCATCCGCTGTAAAGATTTCACAGTATGAGCTGTACCAATTTCAAAAGATAATTGAACAATTGAAGTACATTTGACACACTTAATATGAAGATAAACTGAGAGACACGAAGCGATAAAGTTATATAAAAGGAGCGCGATCCTGCTCGGCTTAAAATAAAAACATTTGACAACATTCTATTTATAAAATATAGTATGTATTATTTTTATTTCCATCTGAAGACTCTACATTTATATATAGAAATAAAAATGTAATATTTTCCCTTTTAGTTATTCACTGGTTAAACTTGTACACCATACAATTTACATTTACAATTTAAATTCTAAATGAAATTCGCTTTGCAGTGGTATAAGTTAGAAAGAGATCTTTCTTTTTTTTTTTTATAAAAAAATTACTAGATTTTATTTGCTGTACTTTTCTAACGATTTATACTACTGTGTTATCCAATGTGTTACATTCTCGTGTTTTTCTTTCGTGTAGAGTCCCTGCCTACGAGTACGGCAGAGCATTCGAGCGCCGCGGATAGCGCCGGTGATCAGCAGAGCGATCCGCAGATCCAGCAATCGGCGCAGCAATGGCCAGCGGTGCTCGAACTGCAGGCCTACAACGTCGCGCACTCCGCCATTATCCAGCCGTACCACTTCTGGAACACAGAGTTCCGCAACAAGCAGCCAGCTTTCATCAGGCTGAACTTGACCCTACCATGGGGTGCGAATTTCGCAGTGTACGGCAGACGGAACGTCGCGCCCAGCGTCACGCAATACGATTTCGTGGAGTTCGTGAAAGGTGGCAGGGTGGTCCACAGGCTGAAGAGGGATATCACTGCCGTCAGTTTTATGCAGTCCACCAATCCGCAAGATGCCCACGTGGAGCGTGCGCCGCAACCGGTCGCGCCTTATCAACACGTGCTCATCAAGAGGACCATTGTGGAACCACTGATGGTCAATGTTAGTCTGCTGCAGTACTTCGATACCGGCGACTGGTTCCTGTCCGTATATAATGATGAGTTGCAGCCTTACAAGGTTACTTTGGTCGTGACGGAAGCCGAAGGTGTTTCTACTACGTGTCCCAATGACTGTTCCGGACGTGGATCGTGCTACCTTGGCAAATGCGATTGTATAGACGGATATCAGGTGTGTTTTTGTGTAAATATCTTCGAATTAAATAAGAGAAAGATCTTATTTTTGGTCGAAGCGGATCTTGATATGTAGATTTACAATTATATTTTTTAGTTATATAAACTGCGCGTCGATTCAGTTTGTCGAAATGCTTTTATTTAATTTAATAACAAAAAATCTTAGGAAAATTTAGTCAATTTTTGGCACGTGACAGCCTATAAACAGATTGTGAGATAAAAAATTTCCCATTTTATTCAGCTTATAATTTTCTATGTATAAAAGTTACCAAGCTCAGAGAAATACAAAAAAACAGTAATCCTTCGAAAGTAGAGATTTTAAGCTTTTTATATAAAGCCCTTTTTTGTGAAATTAACATTTTGTTCACTTTTGAAGAATATATTTTATGTATAATTTTGAGTTCAAAATACGACATTACTTCTCTTCCAACTCAATAATTATTTTTAAAGTATTCGTTCATTTGAAAAGATCAAAGATTATAAGGAGACAAAACTTTGTGATTTCAGGGTGCTGATTGCAGCAAAAGCGTGTGTCCGGTTTTGTGTTCTTCACACGGACAATACGGTGGTGGTATGTGTCACTGCGAGGAGGGCTGGAAAGGCGCGGAATGCGACATACCGTTAGGTGACTGCCAAGTTCCTGACTGTAATCAGCATGGTCAGTGCGTTAGAGGATCCTGCGTCTGTAATCCCGGCTGGAAGGGCAACTTTTGCGACGAACGTAAGTTGGTGATAAAGGATTAATCAAACGATATGCATTTAGGAGTAGATTTAAGAAGCGTATTTCGAGATATTGAAAAATTTAGGAGTAATTTATTTGCTTCTAAATTTAATTTATATTTTCTTATACGTATGAAAAAGGGAAAATTCCGACAGTATCGGAATATCGGAATACTTTGAAAAGATCTGAATACACACAATTTACGAGCGATGACGTTGCATTGCAAATGTGCGCGACGTCACAGCACATATTTCAGCCTTAAAAACGGCTTAGCGGAAGTCACGGGTGACGGAAAACATTTACCTCGAACATCTATTTCTGCCCCGGGATCGTTATTTCTTCATGTTTGTCACAGCATCATTAATTTTCCCATAATTCAAGCGAACGTCCTGGCCCTCTATCCGGGGAGATTCAAGATATTAGTAATGCAGAGTCCCCGTCGGTGGGAAACACAGCCAGCCTGTGTACAACCTATAATTAATGCACGCGGAGTTCTCCAAATTTACATATGGGTCAAGCCATGCCAATTCGGCGCGACAATTAGTTTCGTATTGTTTCGCGGGAATTTGAATAATACACGGGCGTGCGCGCGCGCGGCACGCAGCTGCGTTCGATATGTTATAATTTCGCGTAGCCCCGGAACTTCCGGGGACTGAGTGACGCACGATATAAATGACGAGATTATTCGCCGGGAACGAGACACTTCGTCTCTGACATTCTCACGGTCCTCGTTAGAGATACGCTCGCCCGTCGCTTTTTCCTAAACGCAGGCGAAAACGGTATTAGTTCCACGTCAGTGGAATATGTCAGCTCCAATCGTAAGAACGATAAATTTGAAGAGCGAAAACGGATTTGCATTAGTTGTGACGCGACGGCAAATGAGAACTAACTGGCGAATAAGAATTCGAATCAAGAGTCATTTCTTTTCGAGACAATAATAATCTCTATATTATATATTTTATATATAATATTATATTTGTATGATATATTTAATATGTGACATATGTGATTTATTTTATATGATATATTCAATTTCTGAAAGATTTATTTTTGTCATTTAATTATCAAAATGACACATTGTTGGGCAAATTATTCTAATAATTTTTTATTTAACTTACTATTTAAATAAAATTTTATTTATTATTTGCATTATTTTCATTATTATTTTTTTTTGTATTTTTACTTGCAAAGGAAGCTCTTCAACTTGAAAAATGTATAAATTTAAAAATATATATATTATAAAATTTAA